TTTTTTTGCACTGAGTGCACGCACGTGTCGGGCTACATCTCCTACACCAGTGCACCCGCATCCGGGGTGACTGTAAAGGATCCGACGCCGGCGTCAGACCCCTCTCTGTTCGAGGGGAGTATTGGTTGAAGTGTCGCCTATGCTCACAAATTTGGAGGGGCACGAGCACAAGGGCGGTGGAACACTTTTTGAAGTTGTTGAAGCCGTGTCCCTTGAGGACAGGCGAGATGGTGCACAAGCTCGTTGTCGCCGGTGGGAAGGTGTTGCCGAGTGACAAAAAGAAGCAGTACCTCCTCAAGAACCACAGACAGTTGCATGGCATTGCGGAAGGGACGACTGCGACGGAGACTCAAGACGTGGACTCCGGGCCGTTTGTTTGCGAGGACGAGGAGCCGCAACCACCACCCGCTGCGGGGATGGCACCGCCAAAAACAGCTTCCCGAACAGCGACGGTCTCCGCTGCAGACGAGGGGCTTGCGGAGGGTTTGGGGTCGAACACGATGGTGACATCATTGCAGCAAACAACAATCAAGAGATGTGTGGACGATGATGCACAGAAGAAGCTCGATATTGCGTGGGCAGAGGCGATGTTTCGTGCTGGCATTGCATTCAACTTCCTGAACTTCGACACAACGCAGAAGCTCCACGAAGTTTCCTTGGAAGTGGCGAATGCGCGACCGAAGGTAAAGCTGCCCTCGTACAAGCATATGAGGACGGTGATGCTTGACTTCATCTACTTGCGAATTCAAAAGCAAGTTCATCCTTTGACAGTCTGTTGGGATGAATCAGGCTGTACATTCATCACAGACGGGTCATCCGACCGTCGAGAGCGTCCTGTCATGAACTTTCTCGCAGCGGGGGAAAAGGGTGCAGTTCTGGTGGCCACAGTGTCAATAACGGCAAGGACGAAAACAGCGCAGACGTTGGTAAAGTTATGAGAGCAGTTCATAAGGGAGATTGGGGTTCAACGCATCAACGCGATCTGCACCGACAATGCCGAGGTAAACAAGAAGGCTGCTCAGATTTTGGAGCGCCGCACCGACAAAGACATTGCAAGGATTCCATGGGTTCCTTGCGCTGCGCATTGTTGCAGCCTTTTGCTGCGAGACATCAGCAAGCTGGACTGGGTGAAGGGCACTGTCAAGAGAGGCCACACGATTGTGAAGTTCATCCGGAACCACCACTCCACGAACAGTCTGATGATGTCCATGGACGATTTCCTCACATTGCTTCGTCCCACGGAAGTTCGCTTCGAGTCCGTGTACATAATGTTGAAGAGGCTTCTGATCCAGAAGGCAGTGTTGTTGGATATGGTGGATCGGAGAAATGCAGCACGGTGGACGGGGATCCGTTGGTCCACAGCAAAGTTGAAGTCGAAAGCGGACCTGGTTTACTTCACCCTGAGGAGAGACGGCTGGTGGACAGAGTTGAAGAAGGTGGTCGATGTCATGGAACCATTGTACAACCTTCTCAGGAGGATGGATCGAGATGGAACATCACCGACAAACCTTGTCGAATACGACAACCTGATTGAAAGGAAACTGGGTCACGTGGTTCTCACATAGGAGCAACGGGCGATCGTCATGGAGAAAGTCAGAGATCGGGTGAAGATGATGCGGCAGCCAGTACATGCACTGGCGTTTCTTCTGGACCCGCGTAGGAGAAATCCACGATGGCTTTATGATCGGGACAACGCAGTTGTGCAGAATGCGATGCGTTACCTGCAGAGACAGGTTGGGGGTCCTTGGAAAGGGTCAGACCACCTTGAAGTTTTGGGTGACCTGCACGAGTTTCACAAGGAGCCCACGCCGAACGGGCCGACAAGAAAGAACAAGAAGATGTGGGAGCCCTATGCGAGGGTTGATTGGGAGAGGCTCACACCGTCAGAGTGGTGGGCGACTCATGGTGGCGGTGTCCCCGACTTGCAGGCCATTGCCATCAATGTGATGGGCATGTGGAGCACGGCGACCCCGACTGAGAGGAATTGGTCGTCCATGGACTTCGTGCATTCGAAAAGGAGGAACAGTTTAAAGGCCGAAACATTGGAGAAGCTGGTGTACATCCATTGGAACATGCAACTGCTGCGTGCTGCCAACAACAGCGGCGGCAACGACGAGGGCTACGTCGATTTGTGGAGCTCCTTCTTTGAGGCCATTTCGGAGCCAGACGAGAACAATGGATCTGTCTTGAGGTTCCCTGAGGACGAATCTGAGAAGACGGATGAGGAGGTGGTGCGGCAAAGCAGCTTTATCAAGACACCAAAGGGAAGGATTCCAAAGAAGCTTGAGGACGAAGAGGATGAGTGCACCGACGACAGTGACTTGGATGATGAGCTGTGAAAGAGGAAGTGTGGATTGTCGGATGAGACGAGCGGCGCGGAGGAGGAGGAGGATGAAAGTGATTCCGATTATGTTGGCAGAAGAGAACCTACAGGTCGTCGAAGGGAGAGGCAACCCACGGTCTTCCCACAGGCCCGGGGGGAAAGCTCCTCCCAATACCATCCTGAGTCTGACGTCGAGTTCCATCACATGGACACGGATATCGAGTTGCTGCTGCAAAGTGGTCCGGTTGATGAAGATGAGGCGGAGACCGACCTTGCAAGGGCACTGGCAGATCGCGATAGAGATGCTGTCCCAAAACGGATCAGGGAAGAGGAAGCCCGACGCGCAACAATCCCAACACCGAGGGAGATTGAGAGACGCAAGAAGAAGGTTGGGGAGAAGGAAGCGGAGACACGTCGGCCATTGGACGTTGTGCAAGAGCGAGATGAGGAAGAGCATCAGCAAAGTGGACCGGTTTTAAAGGTGGCGGATCAGCAAGTGGCAGAGCACCGCAAAGAGGCGGAGGAGAAGGACCAGCAAGAAGACAACGACGACATGGACCACCTACAAGAGGCGGAGAAAGAGCACGAAGAAGAGGACGAGGAGATGAAACATGAAGAGGACAAGGAGGGGATGGAGAGTCGAGGATTGGAGGAGGCTATGGAACCGCAAGAAGACACGGTGGACATGAATCAACACGACATGCAGCACAATGTGGATGACGAGGACGGCGGAGAAGAGCACCAGCCTGCTAATAAAGACTGTGTACACTCGTAGGCAACGACCGGAGAAATCTGCACAGTCTGTCGAGAACTCACCCGACTTCCCTCCAAGCAATGAGGCTGTCCAACATGACAACCTGTGGGTGAGCAGGGTGGGGAGGAAGAGGAAGGAACCGGTGGAGGATGATGCTGCGAAGCCTAAGCGTGCTCGTGGCAGGCCCCGCAAGCTGAAGACCGCCGAACCCGGTTCAAAAAAAATAAAATAAAATAAAAATCGCCAGCACAAGGGTCGCGCGGAGGTCGTGGAGGATGACCCCGATTCGGATAACTGCAGCGAACGGTCATCTGAATTTGATGGAAGCCACTCCGATGGCGAATGAGGTCGCTGCGAGTGTGTGTGTGTGTGTGTGTGTGTGTGAGAG